TTTTGGCATAGTTCCCCGCAAGTTTCTGTCACTAGGGGTACCGGTTTTCCCGGCAAATGCTACTAGTTAAGATAATTGAAACTAGCCACCAGGGCTGTCTGAAAACATCCTTTTAAAATTTCAGTTTTCTAGCTTTTCTGGTTTCCGCGTTACCTGCGAAAACCCTTCACCAGCCTGTACGTAGGTACCATACATACTCAAGGGTTGGTTTTGAACACATTAATACCTACTTGGACGGGAACAATCCCCTTAAAATTCCAGTTTTCTAGCTTTTCAGGTTCCCAAGTTAAAAACTTACTCGAAAAAATTTCAGCGGGCCCGTACGTGGGTACCACGGGGGTAATGGCGCCCATGGAGGTTGGGCCCGTACGTGCATGTAGATAAAGTTCCCGAAGTTTCAGCCCTGTGGATTTTGTAAATCTTGAGATGAAAAATCGGTATAGACGAACACACAGACACTCACCCAGACAACCTCTCGTCAATATGCATTTTCTACATTGTATAGGTGCAAAAAATACACAAAAATGGCACCGAGTATTACAGGAGTTATGCAGCTCCGGGTAGAAAAGCCTAGCACAGCTACGGATGGCATTTGGGAGCATTAAGGTTACTAGCAACAAAAAGTTATTAACATAAAATGTACACAACGACTGTGTGGCTTGTTTTAGTTACGAAGCAATGTGTTAGACCGATGTCCCGTGCTGTTCTCATTACCCTTAATAAAATCCACCATTGAATAAAATTAACTTTTTTAAAAAAATTGGCCAACGCACGGGCAGCCCGAGCGAGGATGCGTTTTTTGCACAGCTCCCCGCAGATTTTTGTCGCTAACAGCACTGGTTTTTCCAGCAGATGCTTCTAGCTAAAAGAATTTCAGACTAGCCGCCATGACTGTCAACAAACAACCCTTTAAAAAATTCCAGGCTTTTAGTTCCTCAGATTCCCGAGTTAGCGACTTACCCGAAAAAAACTTTGGCGGGCCCCTATATGGGTATCACGCTAACCCTGGGGCTGGGTTCGAGCTCACTAATACTTATTTGAACGGGGGATATCCCCTTAAGATTTCAGTCTTCTAGCTTCTCAGATCCCCAAGTTATCAACTTATCCGTAAAAAATTTTCACGGGCCCGTACGTGGGTACCACCGGAAAGACCGCCCATTTTGGGGGCGTGGGGGTCCATACATGCATGTAGATTAAGTTACCAAAGTTTCAGCCCTGCAGCTTTCGTAGGTCTCGACATGAAAAATCGGCACGGACGAACACACACACACAAACATACACACACACACACACACACACACACACACAACACCTCGTCAATATCGTTTTTTGCATTTGACATCTGCAAAAAACGCATAAAAAGTTCGAGTATGACAAAATTTGAGTTTTTTTTTTCTTCAAATTTTATATATTTTTATCACTCTTCACGTTTTCCGCTTCCGCGTCAAATTTTTAAAACTAAAAAAATATCGAAAATTTACGGATTCGAAATCTAATTTTACGCTTTCCCAACAAAGAAAATTCCAGCATGCCTCCAGTTGTTGTGCCTCTCAGTCTGCTTCCCGGATGATTCCCGAAAACACAACACATATCGATCCTAATTACACCGATCAGCTGTTGTTTCATCGTCGCGTTTCCTCTCGGCCACTGTTGCGGCTCGCGAATTCTCCATCTGTCCTTCGTTTCAGGCATCTCTCATTCACATAATTCCATAGAGCCGTTTTCAAACGGATCCTTCCACAGCACCTTGTTTTCCTTATATACCATTCTCGCCAGCACATGGCCAAATCGGCCCTTCCTTCTTGCTTGGATGACCTCACTACAGTCTCGACATGGTGTGATTGGCAGCTGAGGCAAGAAAACGAGCGAAAAATCACCCAAACTTAACTACCCACCTCTTCCCAGTGAAAAATTGTACTAATCCTGCGACAAGGTCTATAACACGACTAGCGATTGGCAAAGTGCCAAAATTATTGTTGTAGTTTTCGTTGTGTGAGTCAATCATTTCACACAAAGTCCTGGCTGGAACGCATCAGGCTTGCCAGTGCGATCGTGCGTTTTTACACTAAACTTGAAGCACTCAGGTAATTGATTGCATGAGAATGGCTACTGCTTTACACTTGTCTTTTGCACTTACCAGTGTAAGTCATCATAAGTTTTGCATAAAAGAAATTAACAGTTTTCGTTTAACGGCCGTTCCTTGGAAGTAACCTAGCTGTTCAATGAGCAATTTTCCCGCCAAAACTTTTAAGTGCTCGTACCTAAGAACC